ACTCCGATATATGTGCACGAACTGGTTGAGAACTACGAGTCATAAACTAGTACCTGAAATAAACAAAATCAAATAAAATTAAAACTAAAATTAAAACACACAAAAAAGAAAATAAAAGAAACAATGGGGATTTAGCAAAGTTGCTAATCCCCGGCAACGGCGCCAAAATTTGATGCGAAATATTATAAGCACACAAATTAAACCCTCTTTTTGACAATTGTAGTATAGATGTAAGTAGGGTATCGTTCTAAACCGGGGATTAGGAGGGCTTGCTAAAACCTCTAAACTGACTCAAAAACAAAAAGAAACCAAGTTAAAAATGTAAACCAAAGACTTTTAAAACAAGAAAGTAAAAGGGGGATTTGGGTTTGGTGAAGTTGAAAGTAAAACAAATAAACTAAAACTTAAATAGATTTTTAAGTAGGCAGATTATAAAACGAATTTGAGAAATAAGATGATGGATGGATTAGTTAGAGGTCCGTTCTTCACACATGACACACTTGTACATGAATCGATTTCCAATTGCTTTTCAATAAACTATGATGCTTAACACCCCAGATTGACCGTGATGCACAAATTAACCCTCAGATTTTCCTTTACTTATTTAATTGGATGAATGCATGCGACAATCCAAATTATTCTCTAAAAGTCCCCTATATGAATGCATAATAGAGATACAATCAGAGATCATTACGTTCAATGAAAATCATAAGTGTTGACGAGGCAATTGTAACTATGAATGCATGATACGTTTGTCAAGAATTCAATTAACGCGATTGTGACAAGCAACCTTCACTACTCATGAATATAAACTTGTAACAATTAGGTGAAACTCATTTATATTCTAGCATCTAATTCATGTATGAAAACTAAGTATGCATCCTTAATAAACATACAAGAATCAGTTATGAAGAAAATAGATAATTGAATTGCAATCACAACTTATCAAATCACAATTGGAAGAAATCAATTCATATCACAAGCATGTTCATGGCTTCAAACTTCCCCCTAACTAAATAGGGGTTTAGTTCCTCATGTTCACAAAACAAAGATAAATAGAATTATACATTGAAAACAAAAGAAAGAAAACACCTAAACGTTCCAACGATCCATGTTGGATAGCAAGCACGTACAAGAACTTTCCTCTTCTTCTCTGTTGCAACACAAGGTTGGAGTGATGTTTTGAAGGGTTGGTTATGTGGAGGAACAGATGGGAAGGAGTTTAGATATGTAGGGAGAGGCAAGGCAAGGCTTGGAGAATGGTTAATTTCTGGATGATTTGAATGAGGTTGCTGCCATGGTATTTATAGGAAAAGGATGGACTTGTTTAACACAAAATTCTGGTGGAATTGAGTAGGTGAGCACGGCAAGAGTGGGAATTGTTGGTGGGTTAGGTATTGAGTCATCCATTCACATGTCATGGTGAGTTAAGCCTTGCATCATCCACTCACATGTCATGGTGATTTAAGCATTGCATCATCCACTCACAGGTCATGGTGATTTAAGCATTGCATCATCACTCAAATTTCTGGTGAAAGTGAATCAATGCCCACGGCATTGAAGAATTTCTTGGTTTTGAGTGAAGTTTTGGTCAATCCTTCAGAAATTTATCCCTTCTTTTCAACTTGTATTTGTTTCACCAGATTTTTAGCATGTTCATAGCCTCTTTTGTCTTCAAATTCGTCCCTCCTCATGCCTCCATGCTTGCACAATCCAATCTTGGCCCAAAAATGCTCTAGAATGTTCCAAATTGCTCCTTGTTGCATACTTTGACAATAAAAACCTGAAATTGCACGAAAATGACTTTAAACACTAAACTAACTAAGGAAAAAATAACATAAATGCATGAGAACAAGCCAATTAAGTCGCATAAAAATGCTCCTATCAATGCTCGAACAAACCACTTCGAACTCATTAAGATGCTTGTCTGGATCTTCCATGGACAACCCATGGTATTTGGGAATATGATGCAACAAGCTCGACTTCAATTCAAACTTATTGGTCTTGCCTTGAGCAGCCATGGGGTATTGAATGCAAAGGGGTGCGACATTGGCCAACCCCGAGGCCGAGAGTTCTTTGATTGTACGATTGCCCGCTGCAATGATTTCCTCTTCTTTTTCTTGTTCTTCAAATTCAGATTCGGCCTCTGAACTTGAACTAGGTGGATTAGGTTCTGGTCGCTTCCTCTTTCTTCTCAAAGTTCTTTCAAAATCATCGTCGAACTCCAAGATGTTTGCACTAATATGTTGAGAACTACGAGTCATAAACTAGTACCTGAAATGAAGAAAGAGAAACACAATCAGCAACTAAGTAGTAAGGCACGGCAAGGACACATAAGCACACACAAACACACGGACACAAATTAAAACACTAATTAAAACACAAAGACACGAAATTAAACAAGGGATTTAGCAAGTTGCTAATCCCCGGCAACGACACCAAAATTTGATGTGAAATAATCCAACACGCAAATTAAACCCTATTGATTATGTAATTGTAGTATTAAGCAAGTAGGGATCGTTCTATACCGGGGATTAACTAGGGCTGCTAATCTACCTAAATTAAACTCTAAAACACAAAACTAGACTTAAAAACACAAAACTAGACTCTATAGACTCTAAACTGACCTAAAACACTCAAATCAGCAAATCAGCAAAAACTAACTTAAAAAGACTCAAAATAGTACTTTGGACAGATTGAAATACCTTTTTAACTAAACTAAGACACTTAATTGAAAGGGGGGTTGATCTGGATGAATTTAATTAAATCAAACAGATTGGAAACTAAAGCAAACTAGGTATGAAATTGGGTGAATTGAATGGTGAAATAGGCTAGTTAGAGGGTCCTTCTCCACACATGAACATATGCAACATAAATCGATTTGCAGTATTGTTTCTTTAAACCATGGATAACAATGCCCCAAATTAATCGTGAATGCACAAATTAAGTCTCAGATTTCCCTAAATTCATTGAATTGAATTGACAACGCATCGCAACCAAATAATTCTCATCAAGTTCCCTATATGATCAGCATGATAGAGATACATTCAAAGATCATTAAGTTCCATGGAAATCATAAGCATTGACAAGGCAATTATAACTATGAACTGCATGATACTCTTGCCAAGAATCTACTTAACACGATTGTGACTAACAATCTCCACTACTTGTAATTATAAGTTCCTAACGATTAGGTGAGAGTCCCTTATAATTTAGCATCAAATTCATGTATGCAAACTAAGTATGCATCCTTAATCAACACACAAGAATAAGTTATCAAAATCATGTTTTACTAAACAATAACTTAAAGGAATCAATTCATATTAAACATATGTCCATGGCTTCGAATTCACCACTAACTAATAAGAAGTTAGTTACACATGTTCACAAGGATACAGATGGCTTGTGCACAAGGTCATCCCTCATCAATGGAATGCACGGGAAGGATCTCCTTCTTCTCCAAAGGGTGCAACCAAGATGTATGTTTGGTGTAGAATGATGTAGAATGGTGTAGAATTGTGTATGAGTTGTGGCAGATTGTATTTTTGAATGGTATGGGGGTGGTGACGAATTTTTGCTTAAAACACATATATATAGGCACGGCACAAACCCTAGGGTAAATGGATTAGGTTTTTAAACTTAGCGGAAATAAAGGATTAGGCCTAAGATTTACGGCAAAAGTGTTTAAATCCACTAAGAAAAGGGTTTGGCCTAATTAATTTCTGAAAAGGATTTGCAACCCAAATTCATAACGAATAAGGCTAACAAAATCAGAATCCAATAGGAATTGGATGAAGAAGGGTGCGGCACAGATTGGAGGGAAAATGAGTGGCTTGCAAGGCAAGGCAAAAGCCTTCTAGAGGGGAATAGGCGCCATATTTGTAGGGTTTCTAGAAACAATGTGTTTTGTGGTTGATTTGGGACTTCTAGAAGTGAATGCTTCTAGAAATAGCTTTTAGAAATAGATATTTAGGTCCCCTTGCAGCTAGATTTAAGGTATGATGAGATTAGGATAGGATAAGATAAGGTTGGATAAGGTTTTGGATAATGTTCCTTCTTTTGAGTTGATTCCTTATCTTCTATGTCTTGAATTTAATTTCTTCATCTCTTTATTAGATTCCTAGCCTTTTGAACTCCAAAAACGTCCATCCATCTTGGACCATACATGTGCTATCCATTTAGTGCCCAAAACTGCTCCAAAATGCTCCAAATTGCACTTTCTTGCCAACTTTGTCATTTGGACCTACAAACACACGAAAATAGCATAAAACACTATAATAAACACAAACAAACTATGAACATGCAAGAAAACAAGCTAACTAAGTAGCATAAATATGCTCCTATCAAAATATATAATGGGGCCTAAAATGCACAATCTATAACGCCCTATTCCCGAATTATTTATTTTCGAAAATAATTATCGGGGATAAGTCCAACTAAACACTAATTTAATTAAATATCATTACTATGTTTCCTTATTTCAGTCTCTTGATTCGTTCCACATTGATTTATGACCAACATCCAATCACTAAAAACATAAGGTTAAATCCCATATTTTCACCAACTTCTTTCACATTGCCCAATTCCCAAACAAGGTTTTTGTTTCAAATATTGTATGGCTGCATCTAACGTCTTGTTAGACTGCCTACGTACCCTAAATAGGGATCAAGCCATTCATAGTTCACAATAGTATTTCAAAGCATTCACATTAATCATAAGCAATAATCGATTTATAAACATTTATGGAATTGTCAATCATATATAAGAACTAGTTGGGTACTATACCAGTTTGTTTTCCTTAGTTTGTTTCTTTGTTAGTTAGTCTACTCTAATGTGGTTTGCAAGGTCACAAAGTTAGCAAAGCTTTACTACAAGATAAAATCAAGGGAACTTTAACGAAAAGCACCCGGTACTGTTCACTTTAACGAAAAACCACATTTTTACACTAAAAAGTCAATCCTGGTACTATTCACTTTACCCTTTATTTTGTTCTTATCATTAAAACTCAAAGTTTTCAAGCCCTTTTCATTAGTTTTCCTTAAAATCAATCTATCAAGATTTAGTACAACCAGGCCTGCTCTAAGTAATAGAGCTTATATGGATCCGCGGCAGTAGAAGAGATGAGAAAAACCTCGATTTGGCATGTTTCACATACGAGTATGAAACGCTCCAGTACAAACACAAAGTGACTTATACTTGGAAAGCAGCCAAATGACAAGAAAAAAAGGTGACTCACCTTTGTTCTGATTTGTTGTAGGAAATCTTCTTTTTCGTCCATCCCTTTGCCATTAAGAGCCTGATCAGCTTCTTTCTGCCCATTCAAGTGCTGGTCCTGCTGTAGTTAGAAGAATTTGATAATCTGTCCTTTAGCAGTTTTCACTCCCCCCTATTTCTATTTGAATACCTTTCATGCCTTAAAATAATAGGATTTAATTAAACAAAATGATACCTTGCGTTTTGGTTTAATGAAATCCTCATTCATTTGTTGTTGCTGTACTGGTGGCTTAGGTTGCTGGAGGGTGATAGACCCCAATAGTTCTGCATTTAATGCATGTCGAAAACCTTCGAATGCATCTTGTTTTTCTTCTGTAACATTCGAGGGAGGTTTTGAAGCACGCCATTCCACTGGAGGGAGAGGTGGTGGTCCTGGTGTATAATCCACTGAACATCTCAAACCGGGGAGATCCTTTGGATCTGAATCATCTTTTGTTTCTTGCTGAAGTACAGGTCCCAAAGCATCGAAACTTGGAAGATCAAGTACAGGATCAGAGAGAGAATGTTCCAGACCATTCTCGGTGTGCACACTTTTACTTCCACCATCATCATAAGTGGCATTATGGGATATTCCGCCCAGTTCCGGGGAGGTGGATATAAGTTCCTCTGATGAGATTCCACATAAACCATCATACAGTCCATGGTTATTTCTTTCTAGAGTTTCACTAGATTCCCATTGTTCAGAATTCGACTCCGAGAGTTGACTATGACAATCATCTGATATATATGAGAGATGATCTACAGAATGTGTCATCATCGGAATCAGAACCAAATTCATGCAAGGCAATAGCAGGTTCTGGGATCAACTGAAATGACTGAAACATGTCTCTTACGCTTTCATGGCCTTGATTGCCATCAGATAATTTCAGTTTGAGTATGGAAGTTTCAATGCCATCTACTACGGGAAGGAAAGATATTTTCATATGTTCAAGTGGTGGTGACGAAGGAGATGAATCAATACCAGTTCCATGCTCAAACTGATCTCTGAAGGATGTCTCCGGAAATGCTTGGTACTCAACTCTGTGCTGCTCATTTTTCTGGTCCAGTACACCAGCATTTGAATAACTAGCTGGCTCAGATCCGTCATCGTGAGCCTGTGCAGCTTTTCTACCAAAACCATTCACAAGTAACATACGACCAAGCCCAAAAACCCGAGAAGAGCTTTCCTCATTCCCCTGAATCGCTTCATTGGAAGTGGATTTTCCATATGGAACAACTGGCAACACAGTCCCAGGTTCCATTGTATCACCAAGATTACGAAGCTTTGGATACAACTCAGTGGGTGAAAATCCGTTAGGTATTTTCTTGAAAGTGATGCCATCATCTTGATTCTCCGAGCATGATATGGAGCATTTAGAACTCAAATCCTTATCATTACAGCCAGCATTCTCAACTAATGGACTATGTTCGCATTCGTGCTCATCAACTATAAGCTTGTAAGCATGATTTGAGAGACCAACTGTCTCACTGTGACTTCTGTTAGCAGAATCTTGACTTATAGAACTTGGCATGGTGAAATCAGGTGGTTTGGATGGCTCAAGTCCTAATAGGCCACCATTAGTCCAGAAATTTATGGAATTATTCCTGGAAATGTCAGCAGGGGATTCTTGAGACTCACATAAACGGCTTGTGATCTCATCCTTCACATTCTTAGTTCCAGAGCCAGAGGGTGTTGAATTATTCCTGGAAATTTCAGCAGGGGATTCTTGAGACTCACATAAACGGCTTGTGATCTCATCCTTCACATTCATAGTTCCAGAGCCAGAGGGTGTTGAATTATTCCTGGAAAATGTCA